AAAGTCGAAATTTTGCATAAGAATATGTGCTTTGGTGCATTTGGCGGAATCAAGTAGCATAAAGATTGTTAAATAAAAAAGCCAGCAAGCAACATAGTATTTGCAAAAAAGCGGGTTCAGTGCTTAACCAAAGTTCAGGTATTTTTAATAACTTTGGTGCTTAAACTAAAAGAAGTGCTTTTTAAACCGCTTCTTCGCAAATACCCGTCCGTTCAATGGCTGGGGGCAGTCCTAACTTGAAACATTCTGCAAGAAACGAACAGATAAAACGATGAAATATATAGACAATAAAAACGCATTGAAATCTTTTTACGAACAAGCAGGGCTTTTCAAAGAGTTTGAAAACGACAACTCTTATTTGGAGAATGCATTTAATACCATAAACAAACTTTGGCAAGACAACTTTGACGAAATTGAAACTGTAAACTTTCTAATGATTGCAGAAGCTCCTCTTTGGGGTAAGGTTCAGAAATTTGTTTACAATCCGGACACTAACAACTCACAGTTTTTTTATCGCAGCGACTTAGGTAACATCTTGAATAAGAATATCGCTGACAAACGGGAATTTCTAAAGGTTTGCAATGAGATTGGGTTGCTTGTGGTTGATATTTCACCTTTTCCACTAAATCCAAACGACACAGCTATAAATTATCGTAAGTTGGCAACAAAAGATTATAGGCGATTGGTAAGTATGACAATCCCAACCTACTTTGAGAAGAAAATAAAAGCCATTGCTACAAAAAAAGCAACTGACATAAAATCATTCTTTCGCTATGCCAGAGTGAAAAATAATTTTCAAGACCTAATTGCAAAAGTTTTGCTTGACAATAATTTCATAAAAAACACAAATGAAATTGGAGACATTTCCCAAAACGGTGGTGGCATTGATAAAAAGAAACTTGAACAAATAATTAAAACGAACTTTGAACTATCCGCATAAAAAAACACACCATGATAAAGAAAAATCTAACCATTAACGAAATTATTTGCCTGAACTACCACCAGGCATTTAAAGTTGATGAAGCTGGCTATGCTGACATTCTTAAGCAAATAAGAGACCATCATTTTGAAAAAGACTTGAAAAAGGAATAAGCGTTGACTTCCCTTCTTCTTAATGAAGCACTAATTTTAATAAATGGTGGAAAAGAAGTGATTGAAGCCTTTCAAAGAAAGTATGGTGTTGTTGATATTAAAAACATCCATTAACTGTTAAAGAAAAAGAACCTTTGACAGGAGTAGGGAAAATTGTAAAATAAGACGGGAAATGGCAGTCAGGTTAGTTAATATTCAAAATAATACCTCGTATAGATAAACTGCCTTTCCTATATTAAATTTTTTTTATGATTAATAAAAAGAAACTTTTAAATTAACATATAAATACACATTAAAAAAACAAGAATATGATACTTAATCAACAAGCATTTGAAAATGCCAAAAATCTAATCCAACAAGGAAAAAAAATAAAAAGTAATCATTGGACTCCTCCCACAACTGAGCAAGAAAATGAATATATAGACACTCATTCTATGCAAGCATATGCTCAATGGTTCTTAGGAATACGCGAAGAAGATAATCCTTCTACTAAACAAGCCTACGCTTTTCCTTTTACCAACGATTTTTCTCATGTAGATTTGGAAGGAATACGAGCCATTATCACACGTGCCGGGCAATATCATTATTCCGATATAGAACAAGCTGCCATAGAATTAAAAAAGTTAGCCGAATAACTTACAGTTAAAGATAAAACCTGCCCTCCCCTATCAAAATGTGATATTTTTTTTATTTCTTTCAAATTTTTCTTAATTTCGCAACCTTTATTTTATTTAGTATTATAAGAAGTTAGAAAATGAATACACAATTTCCTGAATATAAACAACTTGATTTAGTCAAAATAGCGGAAGAAGAACTCAATTTTTGGAAAGAAAATGATATTTTTGAGAAAAGTATTTCCTCTCGAGATGGTCAACCGCCTTATGTTTTTTATGAGGGACCGCCTTCTGCAAATGGTTTACC